CGTGGCGACATCCTCTCGGGAGCTCCCTCCGGACTGGAGGGAGCTCAGAGAGCGGTCGAGGAGGTCTACCGAGTCCTCGAGAAGCTCGAGGCAATCCTCGTACGCCGACCGGACCAGCGTGTCCATTTCGATATAATTGACGTCGTTGACACTGAAGAGTGTCGAACCGGCTCGCCGGAGAGTGACGTTGACTGAAATGTTGACCAGATCGGCGTCCGTGGCGGAGGTCGCGCCGGGGAAGTCGAGGAGTGAGCTGAGGCAGAGGCTCGGGTACCGAGTCTTCCCACAGCTCCGAGCCATGGCTTGGCTCGGCTTGGCGGTTATTCTGTCATTCTTGGAGCCGGATTTGCCACGTATTCCGACCAAAACGCCGACAGAAATGGCACAGGCGAAAATAAGGACAGTGGCGAATACGAGGAGGAGCTTGACGGTTGGCCTACGTGGGTTTGACGTGGCGTCATCTGATTGCAGGATTTGCCGGCGGGAAGAATCCCCCGGTTCCTTTCCGATCGTGATATGACCCATCGTGTATAGAAGGTGGTACTAAATACTCTGTGATGCAGAGTACGTAGTGAGTTGATGCAAACCGTTGATGGCTGGCTTTATAAGGGTCCTTTTGTAGCAAAAAAGATTAGTACAGAGTCAAAAAGTTGAAAGAGAAGGATGTATCAATATATAGATAACCACATGAAGACAATGATTAGTGCACCTACTTAGTCTTAATTATTTGTCTTCTAAATTTTGTATGATTTTAAAAAATGGTCATCGAATCTTTAAAAAAAAAATCTAAATGTATCAAATTTAGTTACTACTGTTTTGGTGAAATAATATATTGAGCCTAGAATAATATTGCTGTTAGGAGCTTACGGGGGAGCCGGGGAGGTATAGTTTGGTTGAAGAAAAACATTCTGCAGAGAATTATCAACTTTCTATGATTGCCAAAAGCTAAACAAACATCAGCTCTCCAAAATCTGGCCTTCATGACCAACCAAGAAAAATAATAGCGTAATGATCGATCAAAAATAGTGAGATATAACTGACCTTATGGAGTTATGGGAGAAGCTACCACAGGCCACAGAAGATTTCTGCAACTAAGTTAGAGTTTGCCATTATGTTTGTTTGTGCGAATTGCGTGATTGTGCTACATATACTACTTCATTTTGGAAGAGTGCCAAACTGTTCGGTTGATTAGTTGATATGGTGAATGGGTTTCAAATCAAATCAAAGAAAACCAAACCGAATCATTTGGATTTATTGAAGTTACCATCATTTTAGCTATTTTTCAGATTATTAATAAAATATATTTTGAATATAATTTTTTTATAATTCAGAAAAAGTATTCAACTGAGACACTTCAGCCAGAACTTCATAAATTTCAGCAGAATTAGCCGATTCAGCCAATTTCGGTGTTATCAAACAATTCTTAATTTTCGGTTCTATTCGGTTTGGTTCATAACCTGACTATTTGATCCCTGAGAACATCTTCAACGCAATGATGTGTATGGTGTATTTAGAATTTGTCTTAGCTTCTTCGGACTTTTTGAAGAGACAAAGTTAACATTATGTAATTAACTTAATTACTCCGTATTTAGAAAAATTTACCCCAATAGGTGTAAATATTATCATAAAGAAAATGAAGGATTATAAATTACATAAAACAGGACTAATTAATATCTGTTCATGTTCTACACTCACTATATTCTAATAAGATACATTTTTTATAATTTTTTTTTTAATGTAGGCCTCTGTCGCCGCCTTCGAGCACCGCTACCGCCATAGAAGCTGATAAGGTCCCTCTTCAAAGCCAAAGAGATATGCTCGTACTAGCATAAGACAGGTGTTTTTGGTAGTTTAGACTACCTATTTTTGATGTTTTTCATTGATATAAATAGCCAAGTACCTGAACAAAAGAACGGAAAGGTGGAGTCATGGACTCCAAAAATGCAGGGAAAGGGAAAGTGGAGAACGTTCTCCCTGAAAATCAGGAAGACTTGTTCTCTTATTTACAACTGAAACACAAATAATACTGAAACTTATTTAAATAAGGTATTTTTTATTCTGCTTGCGTGGCCTTGTGGACCGTCTTACTGCCACCTCATCACTCTCATACACCGCTGGCTGTTGCTCCGCATCAATACTCCCCTTCTCCAACAGAACCTTGTCCTCAAGGTTCACAGGAAATTGAGGGAAGCTGGCCCTGAGCTGGTCGTACTCCTCCCATGTAGCTTCTTCCATAGGTAAGTTCTCCCACTTAATTAACACCTCAATTACTTGTCGGGACCCTCGCTGGACTGGCCGAGTGCTGAGGACCTCTTCCGGTCGTAGCAGTAATAACCCGTTCTCGCGTAGTGGTGGTAACTCTACTGTCAGTGGTGCAGCATCCCCAACTCGTTTCTTTAGCAAGGAGACGTGGAAAACCGGGTGAATGCGTGAACCCTCGGGAAGCTTGAGTCGATATGCTACCTGGCCAATGCGTTCCTCAACCCGAAAAGGTCCAAAATACCGGTTGGTTAGCTTCCGTGAAGAACGTTTGAAGACTGATTTTTGGCGGTATGGTTGCAAGCGGAGGAACACCCAGTCACCTACTTCAAATTCCTCGTCCCTGCGCTTACGATCTGCCAGTTGTTTCATACGGTTGTTGGAAGTCATGAGGTGTCTTTTTAGTTCTCCCAACACTTGATCACGCTCCTGTAACTGAACATCGATTTCTTCTACCAAGGAGGACCCAAATTCATACCTGGGAATTGGAGGTGGTGGGCGGCCGTATAATGCTTCAAAAGGTGTCATCCCGGTCGATGCGTGGTACGTGGTATTGTACCAGTATTCTGCCCAGGGCAGTAAATCACTCCATTGTGTGGGTCGGTGCTGGACAAAGGAGCGGAGGAATTGTTCGATACACCGGTTAATGACCTCCGTTTGCCCGTCGGTTTGTGGGTGGTATGCTGAAGACATCCTCAGTGTAGTTCCTGAAAGTTTCCATAGATCTTTCCAGAAATGGCTCAGAAAGATGGGGTCACGGTCACTAAGAATGGACCTGGGAATCCCATGAAGGCGAACAACACAATCCACAAACCGCTTAGCCACCAGGGATGCGGTATAAGGATGGGTTAGAGGAATGAGATGTGCCGACTTACTCAACCTGTCAACCACCACGAGAATTGTAGTATGATTGTTGGATCGAGGCAGCCCATCCACGAAGTCCATCGACACATCCTCCCAAACCTGATTTGGTATGGGCAATGGTTGTAGCAATCCAGCTGGCGACATTGTTTGAGCCTTCGCTCGTTGACAAATGTCACACCTGGACACATATTCTGTGACAGTCTTGTGCATAGCCGGCCAATAAAACTGGCGAGATAATCTCTTCATTGTGCGTAGTATTCCAGAATGACCACCCAACGGGGTGTCATGATGTTCCCGGAGAAGCTGTGTAATGAACCTAGAGTTAGGAGGTATTACCACACGGTTGTTGTAGCATACTAAACCATCCCGCCATGCGTAAGGTTTCCCTGGTGCAGCCCTAGCTGCCTCTCCTGCCCGTACCAAATATGGATCGGTTTCTGCCATTTTTCTCAATTCATCCCAGATTGTTGCATGTTGTGTGGAGATAGAGTTGAGCACAGGGCTATCAGGGACGCGTGATAATGCATCGGCAGCAGCATTAGCTTTCCCCGGCCGGTATATGATCTCATAATCATACCCAACTAATTTTCCCATCCACTTCTGTTGCTCTGGAGTGAGTATTCGCTGTTCGAGCAGGTATCGGAGGCTGCGCTGGTCGGTCTGGATGATGAATCTGCGACCGAGGAGATATGGTCGCCATGTTCGTATGGCCACGATGATAGCCAGCATCTCACGAGCATATGTGGACCAATTCCTCTTTGCCACCCCCAGCGTGCGGCTCATAAACGCTATTGGTTTATCATTCTGGGAGAGAATTGCGCCAATGCCTTCTCCAGACGCATCAGTTTGAATCACGAATGGTTGAGAGAAATCTGGAAGGGCTAAAGTTGGAGTTGTGGTCATGGCGTGCTTGAGTGCAGCGAATGCTTGTTCTGCTTCCTTGTCCCAGGTGAATTTCCCCCTACGCAGGCGGTTCGTTAAAGGTCTTGCTATGAGGCCATAATCTTTGACGAATTTACGGTAGTAACCGTCAATCCCAAGAAACCCCGTAGCTCAGTGATGTTAGTTGGAGCTGGCCAATCCAACATAGCCTTGATCTTTGATTGATCCACCTTAACGCCTTTGTTGGTGATGATGTGACCCAAATACTCCAGTTCCTGTTTACCAAAGGCACATTTCTTGAATTTGACAGACAACTGGTTATGTTGCAGGATTTGGAACACTTCCCGCACATGCCTCAAGTGTGTCTCCCAATCGGGGCTGTAGATGAGGATGTCATCGAAGAATACTAACACTGATTTACGCAGCAATGGTCTAAAGATTGAGTTCATAAGTGCCTGAAACGTTGAGGGCGCGTTGCACATAGTGATGGCAACGGGGCGGATCGGGGACGGGTACACATAAAATCGAAACCGCCCCGTTGGATAAATGTTTGCCCCAAAACCGCCCCATTACCCATTCGGGTAATTTTTATTTGAGCCGTACCCGCCTCAACGGGGAATCGGTTTATCTACGGGTAACCGTTTCCCCAAATGATACCAAATAATCATTTTCTTTAAAACAAATAACCAATTTCTAATCTTACTTGTTATTTATATATCTAAAGCACCGTACCCTAAAACATACAAAAGTAAATATTAAGCAATCAAGCAGACTAGCCTAAATTCATTAGTATGACATGCACCTAATATCTCTTGTAACATAATAAAAAAGTAGTAATCATCCTAGAATCCAAATTCCAAAAACATGTTTAGGCATATATTTAGTGTTAGGCCTAAAAAAGTAGTATACCTTTTAGCATTATTTATATGATATATATTGTACTATTTAGTATACACAATTTAGCATATATACTTATTATTCTTATATATAAAAAGTAGTAATTCATTAATAATGTTACGGATCGGGTAACGGTGCGGGTACCCGCACCATTAGTGAACGGGGCAGTTTCGGGGCGGATAACGGGGCGGATTAGTATAGAACCATAACCGCACCATTAACCATTTAAAAAATTCGGGTATTCCCCGCCCCGTACCCATTCCCCAGTCAAACCGGTTTTCCCCAGTTTGACCAAATCAGTTCGGTGCGGGTATCCAACGGGTCGGCCGAAATTGCCATCTCTAGTTGCACAGTCCAAAGGGCATTACCAAATACTCGTAATGCCCATTATGTGTTCTAAATGCAGTCTTGGCGATGTCTGGAGAATGCATACGAACCTGATGATATCCTGCCGTAAGATCGAGTTTGGTGAAGTAAGCTGCCCCGTGTAGCTCATCTAACATATCATCTACTGTGGGAATTGGGAATCGATCTTTAATTGTTGCCGCATTTAGGGCCCGGTAATCCGTGCAAAACCTCCAAGAACCATCCTTTTTCTTAACTAATAGCACTGGTGATGAAAAGGGGCTGGAACTTGGACGAATGATTCCTGAGTTGAGCATATCCGCCACTTGTTTCTCAATCTCTTCCTTCTGATAGTGTGCGTAGCGGTAGGGACGAACGTTGATAGGATCAGTGCCCTCCTTGAGTGTAATGTGATGCTCAATCTCGCGGCTAGGGGGGAGACCGTCTGGGATCTGAAATAGTGTCTCAAATTCCTGGATCAAGTTTTTCAGTGGCTCGGCTACTGGCATCAATGGTTCTTCTGCTTCAGCGAGACAGATCGCATAAAGAGTGTGTCCTCGACGAGCTTCCCTGCTCATGTCATGTGCATCCGTGGCCTGAATCATGGCAGCTTTGAGTCCCCGGAACACATGAGTCCGGCATCCCCACTTAAATTGCAGCGTCTGAGCTTTCCAATCACAGGTCACCGGCCCTAAACCTTCCAGCCATTTAACTCCCAGAACCAAGTCTAGGGCCACTAACGGAAGTGCGTGTAAGGTCATTGTGAAAGTAACCTCACCAATCCGTACCTTAACATCGTCATACCTGCACTCACACCTCATTGGTTCACCGTTGGCGACTCGTACCAGGAATGGTGTCGTAGGTGTCTGCTTTAACCGGAGTTGCTGCGCTGCCCTTATACTGATGAAATTGTGGGTTGAGCCGCTGTCCACAAGGGCAACCAGTTTGCGATTACTTATGCCTGCGCGAAGACGAAGGGTTGTAGGAGCATCCCAACCTGTCAAGGCATGTAATGTGATCTCTGGTGATTGATCCATTGCCGCTAACAGTTCTTCTTCATGGTTGTCAGAATCTTGTTCGCTCTCCATGACAAACAGCTGTGGCTGCTTGCATTTGTGTCCCGGTGAAAACCGTTCATCGCAACTAAAGCACAGCCCCAAGCTCCGCTTCTTTTTAAGCTCCTCCCAACTCAGCCGCCGTGGACCCGGTGTGTGTTTATCACCCAGTGATGATGATTGAACATGATCTGGTGATGAGTTTCCAATTTGAGGCAAGGGTTTGGAATTGTAGGACCGCTGTCCACCCCATTTTCTTTCTTTCTGTAACTGATCGTCTCTTAATCTGGCCAGGTTGATGATCTCCATCAGTGTCTTCGGTTTGAATATTCTAATCCCACTGGAAATAGATGGGTGAAGTCCTCCCATGAACGCCCCCACCAATGCCTTCTCTGACCATCCTTCAACCTTGTTCTGCAGCCTTTCAAATTCTCTTCGATACTCAATTAGCGTCCCTTTTTGGCGGATGTGGCAGAGCGCTTCATCAAAGTCTTCACCGTCAATTGGGCCAAATCGCGTCCACAGCTCAGCCTCAAATGTTTCCCACGAGATCCGATGGGGGTCGAAACCCCGAGCTCTTGACTTCGCTTGCCACCACGCGTTGGCTTCCTCCGTCAAGTGATAAGAAGCAAAGCTAACCCTCTGATCTTGTGGCATCTCATGATAGGCGAAGTACTGCTTTGCCTTGCTCATCCATTCCTCCGGGTCTCCACCGCTGAATTTTGGGAATTCCAGCTTCACCGGACGGGAATGTCCGTGTGGAGGGTTTGTGGTATACACGTGACTTTCCCCGTGCTCTTCTGTCCGACGATGGCCCCGTGCTGCGCTGGACCCACTTTCGCGGTTGGCCGCCATCAATTCCCTCATTCGGTTCACAGCATCTTCTAGATTTCGGTTGAACAGAGTCTCCAAACTCCGGAATTGGTCTCCTATGCCGGTGTTTATCTTCTGAAGCTCATCTTGCACAGTTCCGAGACTCTCCTGCATCAACCCAAGGCCTGCCTCCAAGTCGTCGAGTCTCTCCTTGTTGTTCGGCATGGGCTCGTCTCCCTGGACAACGACCCTTGGCTTGTTTGGTTTCTGTGATTTTCGGGGTGGAATGTTGTGAATTGGGGTGAGTGATACTGAAGAAAATTCTTGATGGGCGTTGATTCGTAGAGAATACCGCCAACAAGAACCAAACGGCTCTGATACCAAATTGATAAGGTCCCTCTTCAAAGCCAAAGAGATATGCTCGTACTAGCATAAGACAGGTGATTTTGGTAGTTTAGACTACCTATTTTTGATGTTTTTCATTGATATAAATAGCCAAGTACCTGAACAAAAGAACGGAAAGGTGGAGTCATGGACTCCAAAAATGCAGGGAAAGGGAAAGTGGAGAACGTTCTCCCTGAAAATCAGGAAGACTTGTTCTCTTATTTACAACTGAAACACAAATAATACTGAAACTTATTTAAATAAGGTATTTTTTATTCTGCTTGCGTGGCCTTGTGGACCGTCTTACTGCCACCTCATCACTCTCATACACCGCTGGCTGTTGCTCCGCATCAGAAGCGGTCGCCACAAGTGAAATGTCACCGGTCAACCGAGTGTGGCAATTATATATGTCAACCCTATGGTAGCGATCGCCCATAGAATTGAAGCAACTTGTTAGTCACAGCTGCAACCCTCTCCAAAATTAATTAGTTGTTTGAAAGTGATAGTGACATCGCTTTTGATGGATCTGATGTGTGTGTCTACACGATAACACGAGTAATTAAGTCCAACAATTAGAGTCTTAGTCGTGTCTTAATTAAGCACTTGTAGTAATTAGACTATGTTTAGCTGGCCAACTGAGCAGATAACCTACTCGATTTGTGATCGATCGATCGATAATGCCCGTGAGCTGTTACTTGACCACTTCATCCATTCGTGATTTAATTTGCAACTAATACTTAATCCATCCCATAAATGTATTTTAATTTCTTCTTTTGTTATTTTCGATCAGTAGGTTGTAAGCATCTTTAAATATGTAATAGTATTTTCCCTACATCATATGCATGGAGACATGGAGTATATGTGATAACTTCTACTTTTCTAATCCAGCTATTCGCGTTACTTTGATAGAAGCTAAGTTAAGTCAACATTAAGTTGCTTCACAAAATACAACTATAAGAATAAGAGAAAAGTAAAGAGTTTTCAAATTAAAATGATAATAGAAATTTGTACTATTTAAACGGTTTTCATTGGTTCAATTCGATCTTAGTTTTATACTTGATACTACAGTTTTTAAATTAATTTGTACTTTCTAAATTTAAGATCTTTTTTCATGAGAGAAAGTGAAGTTTGTAGCATTGTTTTGCCACGACAGTTTTTTTATACAAAACAACACTCGTATTAAATTAATTAAAAGGTCATATTTCATCAAATAATTGTAATATTTTCTTTTAATAAGACATTTTCACTCAATAAAACTAATGATTACTAATAAACTCACATACGGACTCACCCTCGATCTCACACTATGGACTCCGTTAGTTTAGCTTTTATATCATCTATTAGTTATTCCATGTAGTTGAGCTTGTCAAGCTTATATGTGATCCACTTTTTCTCCAATGCCCTTGATAAACTTGTAACCCTAACTCATATCCATACACATATACAACTATTTATCATCTATTTCACCTCTTTTAGCTCAAATAATATGCCTTGATTCCTATAATCCATCATTTGGACCTCCCAAAAACACAAATATTTATCACAGATTTACAATCACAAAAAGTCTACCAAAGTCTGTTTTGGAAAATTCAGCAAAAAAGAAGATGACCCGATAAGCATTACGGGACATTAGATAACTAGACGTCCGCATAGAAATGATTTACGGTTTCGGTTTTATTTGATTGGCTAAAGGGTCAAATAGGCCCTTGAACTGACTTAAAATATTCAATTAGCCTCTTATATAGGAGGTTCTGTCCGGCAGTCGCCAATTGGGACAGTTCCGGTGTAATTTTTTGATGAAATTTTTTGAGCATCTTCTTCATCAAGTCTAGTTTACTCATACCAAATTTCAGCTAAAAATTCAACCGGAAAGGCAGTCAAATGATTTTTTGAAGATAACTGCGAAGTTAAACAACGCAATACATTTCGGAAAATCATTTGACTGCCTTCTCGGTTGAATTTTTAGCTGAAATTTGGTATGGGTAAACTAGACTTAATGAAAAAGATGCTAAAAAAATGTCATCAAAAAATTCCACCGGGAACTGCCCCAATTAGCGACGGCCGTGCAGAACCTCCTATATAAAGGGTTAATTGAACACTTTAAGTCAGTTCAAGGGTCTATTTGACCCTTTAGCCTATTTAATTTAGTCAATGCGATTCTTATTTCTTTCTCTTACTTTGAATACCAATTTATTATCTAGTTCAGAAAATTCAAATGTTTCCGCAGTAATATCACTATTACATATATTCAATCGATTTCAACATCACTAAACAGAGTATATATAATACTTTAATGAGTTAAAAGGGAGGTCAAGGGCACAAGATGAGCATGTATGACTTAAATATCGAGTGCAGTTCGTTGACACTAACCATAAAGTATACTTTTTTCTTTCCAATTTTATAGTATTCACGGAAATCATACACAATAGACGTGAGTGTCCATTAATGGAGTGAGCCTCACATAACACAAATGTCATCAACATATAAATATAATGGAGGATTGATTCATGGTGGGTAGTGATGTGGATAAGGAATCTCATTCCCTCCTAACCAAGATGACACTAAAAGTCTAAAATGTAGGGTATGGTATGACATTAGATTAGACCATTTGCTGGGGCATAGCTCATTTGATAGAAAGAAAATATCACGAGATACAAATCCCGAGTTCAACTTCAAGAAAAGAATGACCTAAAACTTCACTTTTTCATTAGCGTGTGATCAAATTAATTAGTGGTGGCACTATATATGGTAATATGGATAAGAAAAATCCTTCCTTTTGGCCAAGATGACACTACAACTCTGAAAATATACATTTACTAGGAAAGTAGATTAGGTCATCTGATGAACGTAGCTCACCTAATAGGAAGAAAGTGTCACGATCGTGAGGTTTGGGGTTCATTTCTAAATAAACATGACTTGAAACTTCACTATCTTAGAGAATAGATAGGAATCTCATTCCCTTCTGCCAAGATGACAAAGTCCACGTATAGTAGGACAGTAGATGAGGCCACGTCACCCGGTTTGACGAGGTTGGGAATATGTATTGTTTCTCCTAAAACAAAGGAATCTTAGAGAATACGTAGATACAAATGAACTTGCTTCTTGGTTAAGGATACACGACACATTTTTTTTAGCCGCCGTACCAACAAAAATGGTTTTTTTGTGTATCATCGGTCCAAAATCATCGTACCATTTTTTAGAGAACAATTATGTGTTCGTTATACGGAGCATATAATTGTCCAAAACGAATCTATATCACACAAAATTTCGATCTGTGTCAAACTTTTTTGTTGAAAATTACGTTGCGCTGGAACGTACGATACATATTAGTATCGTACCCTTGCGATGCATAAGACAAAAATGTTTTTGTGTGTTTGTTTATTTTAAATAGACGAAATTGACACCAATAATCCCTACTTTTAGGTATTTTACAAAAATAATCCCTACTGAAAAAGTTAACAACAATAATCCCAACCGGATAATTGTTTCACAAAAATAAACTGGAAGTTAACGGTGTTAACTTTTCCGTTAATTTTTTAAAATTTGAAATAAAATGAAGCAAACATATATAAAAACATTAATGATAGTATGTTTTTGTTTAGTCTTATTTCTAATATAAATTTGATTTTATTTAATAATAACTATTTTTTGTAAACTATAATAAAAATTTGAACACAAACTTTTATTCATTTTAGTACGAAGTAATGTGTAATATACAATTACTAAAACTAATTTTAAATCTCTGTTACAATGAAATAAAAATGAATATAAATAAAATATTGATTAGAACTAAAAAAAATGAGAATTTGATGAGTATGTTTTTATTATGACTTTTTTTTATTATTCAGCAGATTAGACCAAGCCGATTCAGTTAAAACTTCATAAATTTCAGTCGATTCAATTAACTGTTGAAAAGGGAAATGAAGTTATTAAATTACCAAAAGATGCGGTGACCTATGAGTTTTTTGAGAAAAGATTTTTTAAAAAATATTAATAAAATAAAATTTATTTACACAAATATGACTGATAATTAATATAATGTAATATCATGATAATTTATGTTTAAAAATTTTAATGTAAACAATATTTATTTTAGTCATAAATATAAAGTTATCTGGCCCAAAAACCGTCTTGGTTGCGCTTCCCATCTCCGCCGATTCACATGGCGTTCAGATTATGTTCTTCCCACCTGCATGTGCACGTAATTTTCGATGCACCCCTTTTTTTTTGTATGAACAGCAGTACCGTCAAACCTTCTAATAATAATAATAATAATAATCTAATAACACTCCTTTATTTATTTTTATTTTCTTCATTTTCGATCTGCCGACAGAAATAAAATTTCTCATAATTGCAACCACCTCTTAGCTTCATTTTCTTTCCAGCCTTCGTGAACCCGACAATTCCCCAATCAAACTTCGATTATCACATGATCAGTCTACATAATTAAGATTAAACTGACATGATTACTAACCTAAATCTCTTAGCTTGCGCTTTGGATTAATACGGATCGTTTGCTTTAGGTATTGAAAAGACTGAAAATTCAGATTAAATTAAGTCGTTGAAGTTCCTGATTTTTTCCTTCAAAAAAAAAGTTCCTGATTTTTTTAATTAGCAGAAACGTTTGCTAGGGTTTGGAAGAACACGTTTCAAGTTTGGATTTGGCCTCGAAGAACACGTCGAAAAATGACGGTTTGACCACTTAGCGTTTTCAATAAGTGAAAATGCTGTTTGGTAAACAGCTGTTCGGCACTGACATTTTTGGACAGAAACGCTGAAATGAAAATGCTGCAAATAGGAGAGTTTTGAGTTAGCATTTTGAAATGACATTTTCTACTAATTTTATGGCCAAACAACTAAATTACCAAGCATCTTCTCACAACCCGTCAACTTATTCCGCTAATCAAACCCACTGACTGAATCCGCTATTGACAATCCACTAAAATAATACGCTATCTGCTAACCGCTAACCACTAAATGCACAACACGCCCAGTAGCGAGGAACATCTAAAATGAGAGTAAACATCCGAACATGTGTACTTAACGGAAATATCTAAAATGGGAGTAAACATAATGTAAATTTCAAAATAGAATTACTCTGATTTCTTCTAGATAGCAGTACCTAATCGTTATCTGAAAATTTAATGTCATATTTTGACGTTACCCAACTTTAATATAGCAATATTAATGTCATAATTGGTAGTAATGGAGTATATGGCCTAGGAACCCCCGACCCACATACTCCCACTACCGCAAACAGGCCCAAGCGGCCCATATGTGACGGCCCAAACTCCATGAGGTCCATAATACACGAAGTATGCCTCCGGCACCACCACCGAAGGCATGAAACTCGAGGGGACACCAACTTTTTGGACCAGTAGCACTAATGGAAAATTCGGTCTCAAAGACCAGCCTTCGGCAGTACAGCCTTCGCCCCTCTCACCGAGGGGTCCCCCCCTCGGCAAGAT